TTTTTAAAATAGTATTTTGTACATCTGTTCTTGTGACAGGTAGATCTAGCTGAAGAGGTCATTTTAGTTACTTTGTGAGAATAACAGGTAAATAAAGTGGAGATCTTACACTCAAGAGACTTTACTTATAAATGCAGTTTTTAAAATAGGCATATATGGCAACTGCTAGCGTAACATAAAGTTATAAGTGCCATTTCAGAGATAGAAGTAAAATCTTCTGTAAGTCCAATATGGGAAAGTTCACATCCACACGTCTTAGAGCTGGGGAAGCTCAGTGGTGCTGCTTCTGGCTCTGCAAGCGCAAGGACCCAAGTTTGATCACTCGTACCAAAAATAGAAAATCCACAAGTCTTCATGAAGGCAATTGGCTCTGTGGACCTCAAGAACAGGTAGCAGGTAGACAGTGGTTTTCACTTCACTGAGGAAAGCAAATAACCTTTGCTGTCTGATCATTTCCTCTCCAAACTCTGTTATTCTTTGTGTTGGACTTTTCCCTTTCTCTTAAGCTTTCTTGAGGCTTAAAGTTCAGCTTCAGGATTATGATTAGTAATAGTTCCTACTATACAGTTTGCTAAACAAGACCTGACTGATCTTCCATTGAGGGAAGTTGGTGTGTTTGAGTGTGGGAGACTTGAACATATTTGTTCATTAAGAAAGACTCAAAAAAGGAAAATTAATAAAGATGCATGCAAAAGAATTTAATAGATTTTAGAATTGACAGAAAGGGGTGAGGTCTAGTTTTGAGTAATAAAGGGATACTTCTTTAATACTATGTAAAGAAAGGACAGGTATACATGGAATGAAGCCAAGTAGTACTTTTAACCACTACATAATACTAGACAGTTCAGCCGGGATTTAGCTCTGGATCTGCCTCCTGCCTTGCAAGTACAAGGTCCTGAGTTCGATCCCAGTACAAAAAAAAAAAAACAAACAATAAAACACACACAAAATTAGGCAGTTGAATAAGAATCTCTAGAGCTTTGAGGTTTGAACATCAGTTTTGTGGTTTTATTTGTTTAGTAAAGATTGAAAACTGGAAAATAATTTGGGGTGGGAGCTCCTTCACATGGAATGGCAGGGGAAGGCAACTGTGGTAGTGAAAAGCCAGTTGTGAAATCTGTCTGCATAGGGAGAAAGGAGAGAATGAGCGAAGAATAAAGAATGAAAGACAGTGATAGATGGATTTTTCTCCTCCAATTCACATTCAGTCTTATTAGAGATCCTAGAACAATTTAAAAAAAAAAATAAATTGTTGCTTTTTCTTTAATTTTCCATTTCAATTTTTTTAAAAAATTACTAACAGCAGTGCAAGAACAACCATTTAAAAGGGATTCCTAGGGCTGAAGGTGATGCTCAGTGGTAGAGCATCCACAAAGCCCCAGGATGTTCATTTCCCAGCAGCAAATGAATGAGTGTGAATGAACGAATTCCCTATGCTTTTAAAAAGAGAGGGTTTTGAAATCTCAGTCTTTACTCAAACTTCTTGTTCTCTTTCTGTTAAGTGATTAGCAAACAAAATATGTCCTTTGTACTATTTTTTCTTTGCTGATTCTTCTTTTGCAATGGCTATAAATACCATCTTGCTGACCAGTTTCAAATTTATGTCTTTGTTTTAAACATTCTTTTTGAAATGTACGTTGTTGTATATCCATTTGCCACTTAGTTTTGCCACTTGGTTGTCTAATTGACTAAAGCACTGAGAATTAGAAGTGGGTCATACAGATGCTTCAAAGAGAATTGATGAAAGTGGTAAACCTTTAGAATCAGATGATGAAGGGAAGAATTAGGAAAGATTCTCAGTTTCCTGTTAGAATGGCCCATTGGGAGACAATTCTGGAGATTAGGAAATACTGAAAAAATGCTACATTTTTTGTCTTTTGTGGAGTGAGTTGGGAGTTGGTTGAGCGGATAGTGGGCAGGAGAATAGAAAGGAATTGATTAGGTTTTGGAAGTTTGTGTTTCAAGTTTGACAGAATTATGCTGGAAGTGTTTCATAGGCAGTTGGAAAGGAGGTGGTGGCTGAAGAGATGGATTTGATAATCACTGACTATTGAGGATTGGTTCTTTGGAGTTTTAAACAGGAAAAGAAAAAAGGTACCTAAGTAATAGGGAAGAGAACCTTCACTGTATCAGTTACGAAAGAAGAGAAGATCCAGAAGCCCACCATACCATCAGTAAGTTCGCACAGATTAAGGAGAGCAGCTATGTGGACCAGAGTGGCACAGCTGTAGGAGGATCCCAGTCAGGGCTCTGCCCCAACTCCAGAGATGCAGGCACACCCTCCTGAGCCACAGGCCTGCCTAGAAAAGAGATGCACAGGCACACAAGCTTCGGCCAGAGGCTTGCCGTACCCTTGGGTAAGTGTGAGAAGATCACAGGGAGCAGCTGTGTGGACCAGAGTGGCACAGCTGCAGGCGGATCCCAGCCAGGGCCCCGCCCCAAATCAAGAGGCACGGGCACACCCTCCTGAGCCACAGGCCTGTCTATAAAAGAGCTACACAAGCACACAAGATTTAGCCAGAGACCCACCATATACATATAGCCAAGGGCCCACCCACCTGGAAAAGAACTGTACTGAAGCATAAGCAACATCCAGAGGCTCTCCCCAATACCACTGATAAGTGCATGGAGACCCCAGCCAGAACTCTACACAGACAACAGGAACTGGGATACACAGCCCCAGCCAAAGACTCTCCCAGACAACACTACATAGGGTCCCCAGCAAGAGGCACACCTAGATACAATCCCAAATGTGCACAGGCCCCAGCCAGAAGCCCACACAGACAACAGGTCAGCTCAGGGATCTAGAAGGCCACCATTCTAAACCCAGGATTTGGTGAGCAGCAGAGAAAAGGTTGCTCAGTGACTGGCTGACAATTGAAAACCACTGGGTGAGCAAAAAGTTGCCTTAACAAAGGCACAGCAAGCTGCATCTGTTGAAATGAAAAGACACAGAAGTAAGTATCAAAACCAGTCTTCCAGATCACCCAAGGCAACCCCAAAGGGCAGCAAGATGGAACAATCTGATACTCAACCACTTGGACTCCCTGAACCAGCAATGAAAGCAGACCTGGAAAAAATGAAATCAGAAATAATTCCTCAGTTAACAGAGATTGTGCCCATAGTACCAGACATGATAATAAATCTAGAGCAGACACAGATTTAAAAAAAAAGAAAATAGAGGAGCAAAGAAACATGAGGGAACCCCAACATAGGAACCAAATAGAATCCATAAAACATGCATACAGATTTCCAGGACATTAAAAACTCCATTTAAAGTTTACACAACAAAACGAGCCAATGTGCAGACAGAATTTCAGATATAGAAGATAGGATGGCAATTAGTGACCAGGAAAAGAAAATTTTCTTAAAAATAGTAAGGGACCACAAGAAATCAAGCCAATACTGCTGGATCATGCAAAGAAGAATAACATAAGACTGATCAGAGTCAATGAAGAAACAGGAAAGAATGCAGACAACATTTTTTTTTTAAAACTTCACAGAAGTAATGGCAGAGAACTTCCCAACTAGGGGGAAAGAACTTGACAGATAAGTGAGGCTTATAAGACTTAAAGTAGCTGTGATTAAAAAAAAAAAATCTACACATAGGCATATCATAGTTAAGATTCCAGAAACAGAACAAAAGAACAAAATTCTACAAGCAGAGAAAAGAAACAAACTATGTACAAAGGAAAGCCCATCAAAATCACAGCAGCCTTCTCCACACAAGGCAAGAGGAGGAGAGCATGGAGTGACATATTTCAAGCTGTAAAGGAAAACAACTGCCAACCCAGATTGATGTACCTTGTAAAACTATCTTTCAGAATTGATGGAGAAATAATATACTTTCATGACAAAGAGCACCTTAGGAACTTAATGAGTACTAAACGAGCACTCCAAAAATTTTTATTTATTTATTTTTCTCATTGAGGTTATTGGTACATTTTAGGTCTTTGGGCTCTTGTACTTTACATGACAGGTCGTGGTTCTCATTTTTTCCCCATACCCTTACCTTCCCTTCACCCCCCCCTTCCCTATTTACAAATACTTTATTTCTATTTTTTCATTTTCTCATATTTTTTTCTTTTCCCTTATTACTTTTCCCCTACCCTTCCCACTTCCCCTACACCTTTAGCCCTTTACTTCCTATTACACATTGTCAGTTGTACTTTAGGATCTTATTTACAGTTACATTTTTTCACGCCAGAGAAACTATTTGTTATTTACACATGTGTAGCTTATTTATTTCACTTATGAGTACATCCTCAATATTCATCCATTTTCCTATGAATGACTCTAATTTCTCATTCTTTATGGCTGAGTAGTATTCCATTTTATAGAAAAACCACATCTTCTTTATCCAGTCTCCAACTGATGGGCAAATGGGCTATTTCCAGGTTTTAGCTATTACAAACTGCCGCTATAAACATGGGTGTGCATACATCACTGTGGTGTTCTTTTAATTCTTTTGGAAAGATACCCAGCAGAGGGATGACTGGGTCAAATGGAATCTCTAATTCTAATTCTTTGAGGTATCTCCATATTGATTTCCATAGTGGTTGCACCAGTCTGCACTCCCACCAACAATGGAGAAGGGTTCCTTTCTCCCCACAACCCCGCCAACATTTGTTATTGTTTGATTTCTTGATAGCAGCCATTCTTTGTGGGGTGAGGTGGAATCTCAGTGTTGTTTTCATCTGCGTCTCTCGAATGACCAGTGATGTGGAGCATTTTTTTCATATGTTTACTTGATGCTTTTACTTCTATGACTCCAAAAAATTTTATTAAACAATATCCTAGGAAAAGACAATGAGGATCACAACCCCACAAAGCCCAGTAGAATGAATCCGTCAGGCAGGACAAGAAATTCAACTCAAAGGGGGAGAATCCAACAAAAAAAAGTTATGAGAAGGATAAGTCAATACACAGCAGTTATAACCATCAATGTTAATGGTCTCAATTCACCAATCAAAAGAAATCGACTGGCAGAATGGGTCAGGATGAAAAGAAGCAGTTGTCATAGTATGAAGTTACAGCCTGACAAAGCCAGAAGAGGTCGTTCTCAAAGAGATTGTAGGCCAATAAATTATATAGGTTTGGTTAGGAGCACAAATAGATTCTTCTTATGAATCAGACAAGGTAAAGACTGAGAAAAAAAGCATGCTATTTTATTCAGTTCAGAAAAGCATTGGTGAATGTGAGCCAATACACTGAGTATTTGTAAACAAGTTTACCAAGAATTAAAATGGTAAAGTCAACAAATCCTGAATAAAGTATACAGTCTGTAAATATAGCAAAACCTACAAATGGTCTATAGATTTGTAATTAAGGAGATGTGAAAAACACCACATCACTTGTGTGTATTCTCTGTGTTGAAAAAAATTACTGCCTGATAAAAAGAATATGGAGTCTTAAGAGTCAAGAACCAAAAAAAGACATTTTCTATGTTTAACCAACTCTTAGAATAGGATTAATCTTATTAGAGTAGTATATGTTGGGAGGTAAGGATGTTCAGGCTCTTCTATCAAATGATTACAAAACCCTTAGATGATTCTTGAGGTCCCTCAAAAACCTGTGACTTCTAACGTACCATTTTTTTGTATATGATGCAGAAAATAATATTTTCTTTCACTCTGGGTTTTGTTTGCAGAACCATTTCTTTTTATACACGTACCAATTCTTTTTTTAATAAATTTTTATTTTATCCCATTCCCCCCTCAAGCCCCCATACCAATTCTTTTAACTTAGAAAAAAACATCCTTTTTATATTCTGAAAGAGCATTAAAGAGTTAAAAAATAAAATGAGTTTGAATTGCGGCCTTATGGAATATTAAAAAAGTGAAGAAAACTCTTAAGATCACATTTCCAAATTCCAATTTATTTTCAGTTAGCTACAATTTTTAAACATTCATGAAACTTGAACACATAAAGCACTTCCTAAAACAAAAGCATGAATACAGGTTTCTTTGATTTGTATTTGTCATTTTGAAAAGTAGTATTTGATACTACAGCCAGACACTGAGCAAAATTAGGATAGAGAAGTAACAAAATATAGTCCCTTTCCTCATTGAGTTCAAAATTTAAAGACATTGAACATCCTAGTTCACATATTTCTACTTCAGAAAAACCTTCTGTGTCCCTTTATTCCAAATTAAATTTGTTATTGTTTCTCATACCACTTTGTCTTTCTTTTACAGTTACTCTTGTTATTCTGATTAAAATATGATTATATATTAATTGAATGTGTTCATTTTAATTGCCCCACACTTGTACTAACTAAATTTCATACATAGGCACCATGTCAGTTTTCCACATTACTATACTGTATCTTCAAGTCCCTGTGCAATGCATATATAGTAAAGACTGGATAAGTGAGTGAATGAATGATTGCTTTACTCTTACTCTTACTTTTTGGAACTGCAGGATGTTATTAATTATGCAGGCTTAGTCTAGTGTGAGGATGAGAAAATATTTCTTAGACTATCTGAAAATAAATAGGAACAAAGTGTGGTTGGTATTCAATATCCAATTTCCTTTGAGGGCAAGTAGGATGAATATAGAAAATTTTTCCATGAATTTAGGAATTGAAGTCAGTTTTAAGAATGAAGAAATGCAATTCAAATTACAGTTGCTCATGAAACTTATTAACAAGAAAACAAAGTAGACAGCTTTTTTCAGAAAACTGGATCCCAGACACTGTTAGCTTATTTGTTTATAGCAATATATGATAAACTATAAAAAGGGAAATTAGTATGCTTTAAATATGTTCACCGGTACCAAGATTGATTATGTGAAGGTACAAATTTCCAACAATGAATGTCATTACATTGTATACATTAAATGTACCAATAAAATTAATTTAAAAGTATTTTCACTGTTGCACACTCACTCTGCATGAAAACTATCTATGCTGTGGTAACATGTAGGGACGACTAGAAGGACCTGAATAGTTGTCTTCTAGGAATTCAACTGCCACATTCATATTTCCCATGGAAGTGTTGTATTTCAAATAGAGTCCTGAGATATCACTATAGACTCTTCACAGTACCAGAAACCTCCGCTACCACTCTTCTGTGTGCTTTTGTAAAGTTTTTTGATTTCTGTGAGCTTTATCTCTTAACTTTTTTTTTTTAATTTTCAGGTGTTGGTAAATCATGTTTATTGCTACAGTTTACTGACAAGAGATTTCAGCCAGTGCATGACCTCACTATTGGTAAGTTTTATAAGAGAGGATATAAGCATTACAATTTTTTAATAATTTTAATGTGAAATGCTTGCAGGTCCAGTCTACAAATGATAATTTCAGAATCAGTGAAACTAGATTTATTGTTTAAAGTTAAGTCTCCATATTTTTTTAAGAAATTTATGTAATAAAAATAAATATTACCTAACTTTGCACAAATGGTTAAAATGCAGTCCATTAACACTTAAGATTTCAGTTATATTTAATGATGAAACAAACAATGGGAAGACAATATGTCAACATAGTAAGAGCAAAGATTCTGGACCAGCTTGTTGGAAGTAAAATCAGGTTTCTGTGTCCGTCTGGGCAAGC